CAAGAGCTTTGAGATGATAGGTTTTCAATAATAGGTTGGATTTTAAAGCATAATTACATAGGAGGCTTCATTGGCGACATGTAGGAAAAACGGAATTCAAATTCGAGTTCGGACGAGCCCAAACGAGCCTGAATTTTGCTAGTCTTTTTCTTTATTTATTCTTTTCCCCCGTTTTAGGCCGGAAGCCCCGCAAGGAATAGTTCCAGCCATAAAATTGGTCAGAAAAGCATTCTCTAGTAGTAGGATTCATTGGCGACATGTAGGAAGAATTGAAACTCAATTTCGAGTTCGAACGAGTCCTAACGGTCCCGATATGCGAAGTCGTGCAAGAAAGCCGCCAACTTCTGGTCAAGAGCTTTGGGATAATAGGTTTTCATAAATAGGTTGGATTTGAAAGCATAATTATACATAAGGCTTTGATGGCGATATGTACGAAAAGAAACGAAATTCAATTCGAGTTCGGACGAGCCCAAACGAGCCCGAATTTTGCTAGTTTTCTTCGTTTTATTTATTCTTTTTCCCCGTTTTTGGCCGGAAGCCCCGCAAGAAATAGTTCCAGCCCGAAAATTGGTCATAAAAGCATGTTGTAGTAGTAGGATTCGTTGGCTCTATGTACGAAGAATCGAAACTCAATTTCGAGTTTGGACGAGTCCGAACGGGCTCGATATGCGAAGTCGTGCACGGAAGCTGCCAACTTCAGGTCAAGAGCTTTGGGAGAATAGGTTTTCAAGAATAAATTAGATTCAAAAGCATAAATACGTAGAAGACTTCGTTGGCGACATGTAAAAAAAAAACAGAACTCAATTCCGAGTTCGGACGAGCTCTAACGAGCCCAAATTTCACAATCCGATCTAAAAATAAAAAATAGAAAATTAAAAAATGGAATTTAAAAATCCATTTTTAAAAAGAAAAAAAAAAACCAAAACGGATTTTAGAAATCCGTTTATTAACAAAAACGGATTTTGGAAATCCGTGTTTTAAGAAAAATGGATTTCCAAAACCCGTCCGTTTGATTCTTATCACAATAATATTTTTTCTTTTATTTTTCGGCACAGATTTTTTATTTTTTTTAATTAAATAAGCTACCCAGAGATCATGCTAGAGAAATTTCCTACTATTTTTTTTCATCTCTATTATTTTATCGTGAATAAACTTACGCATTATTACTTGATTCCTATCACCATCGCTCAACCAAAATTCCCTTTTAACTATACAAAAAAACACCTTAAAAACAATGACTTAATATTACTTACAAAAATCCCATTTTTGTCCATTTCATTTTTACTAATGAAAACAAGCCAACATTAAACAGCAAGTTGCACGTTTTATTACAGACTGAGTTAATAGATAGTTAAGTTAATAGATCCAGAGTTACATGTCATGTATACTACTACACCTGTGGTTAGTGGCGGGCCATTACTATAATAACTCATCGCTCATTATCATAACCCAAAGGCATCACCCTAAACTGTAATCTACAAAAACTAAAAAAAAAAATATATATATATTTCATCACCGGAAAATTAAGATAAATAAAAGCCACAGATATATATCTACATAAGCATTAGGAATTTTAGCTGTGTGTATATATATAAATCACGAGTCTTGTTGCTCGGATTTTACAGGGAGCACATGTGAAGATGAGCTTCCATTTTGGATGTAAAGACTGTTAGCAACCATAGAGTCCGTGACTAAGCCAACATCAACATCATCGAAATTGAGGCTTCCTCTCAGCTTCCGATTTCTGACAAACAAAGTGTTGTCATCAACATTATATGCACAAGTTGTGATCAGTAGAAGAATTTGTTATTAGCGTTTTTACAGCTTTACCCGTTCAAACGGTTATTGATTGCGGTCAAATCTTTCGAAGGGGTCTGATATGCATGCGTACTTTCTCCCACACATGCGTAGTAGCTTTTGGAGCTATGTGAAATTAATGCATCCATCTGTAAATGCCATAAGCTAATTATTAATGTTCATGCTCAATAACAAGCATTCTCTTTGAAAGAAATGCGTTGATATTGAAACATTCGTAGATAGATTGGGTAACTATCATAAGAAGCACGAGCAAATGTTCCAAATACAATCAATTCAAGGGATGATGAAACATTGCTTCCTTATAATTGATTGCAGTAGGCAGACTACTCTAACCACTAGCAATAGGCATCAAATGTGGAGAGAGAGAGAGATAGAGGAAACAATTCATACCTAGATGATCGCAAAGGAGAGACAAACATTATGTGCAGCAGACACTTTCTTCGGGGACATGTCTGGGAGACTCGGAAATAAGGA